CGGCCGGCATCAGTCTGTCTCCCTGCTGACACCTACTGCTGTCGCCGACTGTCTCCCTGCTGACATCTACTGCTGTCGCCGACTGTCTCCCTACTGACATCTACTGCTGTTGCCGACTGTCTCCCTGCTGACATCTACTGCTGTCGCCGACTGTCTCCCTGATGACATCTACTGCTGTCGCCGACTGTCTCCCTGCTGACATCTACTGCTGTCGCCGACTGTCTCCCTGCTGACATCTACTGCTGTCGCCGACTGTCTCCCTGCTGACATCTACTGCTGTCACCGACTGTCTCCCTGCTGACATCTACTGCTGTCGCCGACTGTCTCCCTGCTGACATCTGCACCGGCGTCGCCCGGTACCGCGAGCAGAACGGCCTCGTAGTGAGGCGTTCCCTGGACCCCGAGCTCAGCCACGGCCCGGCCCCCATACGGCGGACCTCGCGACAGGCGCACGCTGAGAGGAGCACGTGCGCGCCCTCTGCGCAGCACGGCTGTCGCTTGAATGAGAGCCGCGCTGGTCCGCAGCGGTTTAACATCCGGCAAACGAGCCTGTTCGGATCTCTTGGCGACTGCACCGTTCCAATGTACGAGTGAAGCAAGTGTGATGCAAATATCACATTTGCATCACACTTGTCACATCTGCATCACATTGCATCACACTTGCATCAAATGTCCGACAGCGCATCTCCCGACTGAACAGCCATGAACAGATCACCCAGTATTCTTTGGTCTGGGCTGAACTCATGAGCAACGTTGTCAGGATCTTCCTCTGGAAAACTGCCGGGCCCTCCTCTCCCAACATGGGCTGATATTGGCCTGCCGTCAGGGTATCCAAACGCCCCTACGCCTGACGTAGGGTCCAAGCTGGACAAGGAAGAAGCCTACACGCCTGACGGGGTCCGAGCTGGACACGGAAGAAATTGGGTTCTCTTGTGGCACTGCCAACTGTCGAAACACTTTGGACGGGTTTTCCAGCAAAAACGTTAAGTGATGGCGTGAAGTAAAGAAAAGACGTCCCTCCCCCACCACCGAGCTCGGCAACCAGTTCAATAGCACCTTCATTTTCATTTGTAGTAGTTTCTTGCGGTACAATCTTCTTCTGTGACAAAGCTCTCGAAAAACTTGCACACTCGGTGCCCCTACCAATCACTGAATCTACACGTCAATCAAAATAAAATGTCATCAACCCCTTTTCCATCTCAACCAGGCCGTAGTTCTCGCTTTATTGGTCCTGTTTTGCCCCGTGCTCGCTAGCTGCTTTTTTGCATCAAGTTTTTTTAAACGATTCGTCAGCAGTTCTTCCCTCCACATCAGCCTGGAAGACATTTGTAAGCGCGGCTCCTGCCCGGCTCGACGCTCCACACCGGTCCACGGCCACGACACGCTGCGTCAGTACGTCAAAGTTTCACTTTGTAGCAAGTGTTCCGTCCACTCAACTTGTAGTCCGCTCCAGGGTCATACCGCTGCCCCGCAGTCATCGCTGAGATGTCAGGAGATAGCTCAGGAGACCCGACCCGTGTCGACAGGAGATAGCGCCAATGCGGACGTTCCAGGAGACCGTCCACCTCGAAGCCCGCTCCTGCCTGCGCCGTCTTTCCAACGGATCTGCTCCGCCGACCCACACCAGTCTGGGTCATGATCGGATAGAAAGGGAACTTCAGTGCACGGTGCTTTATTTGGGACAGTTTATATGCCCCGCAGGCATTTGTAGCCGGTGGTCAGTCCATCAGCTGATCAAATCACACGCCTCAACCGAATTATTGAAATTGCTTCTCATCCCGATTTTCGATGGGTTTTTCACTAATCTTCGGATGACCGAAGTACGGACAGTCACCCACCCGGACTGCGACGTGCAGTTATGGCAGTCCGCCTACCGGACTGCGAGTGCAGTGGTGGCAGCCGCTACTGACCGCACAATGTGCGGTTTGAAAGCACTACCTACCGATGCCTGCAATTTACAGTATGATCGGTCAACCCCCGAATGCGACGGGAGTATGGCAGTCGCCTACCGACTGCGACTTGGAGTATTATGACAGTCACCTACCGACTGCGACTTGAGTATGACAGTCGCCTACCGGACTGCGACTTGAGTATGACAGTCGC